TTGCCAAAAACCCCCCTTCATTCCAGCTGGTTGACTGGGCACTGTGGCATAACTGTAGCACAGCCTGTAATTTTTAAACTGGGATCCTTTCAGCACCTTCTGGGATAATGGAGCACTTTGCAGTTTTGCTTGTTTGTGAGTCGAGATAAGATGGGTGGACTTCAACTCCCAGAATTCCCATGGCTGGCTTTGGGGCCTTCGGGACAGTGTTTTTCAACCTTCGGGCCTTGATGTGTGGACTTCAACTCCCAGAATTCCCATGGCTGGTTTTGGGGCCTTTGGGACAGTTTTTTCAAATTTTGGGCCTTGATGTGTGGACTTCAACTCCCAGAATTCCCATGGCTGGCTTTTGGGCCTTCAGGACAGTGTTTTTCAAACTTCGGGCCTTGATGTGTGGACTTCAACTCCCAGAATTCCTCAGCCAGCCATGCTGGCTAGGGAATTCTGGGAATTGAAGTCCACACATCTTAAAGCGGCCGAGTTTGAAAAACACTGCTCTAGAGGTCCCCCCCTGTCTTTCTCCATCCTGACTCAAGATTGTGTCAAGGAGGATGTGGTGATTGACCTTCCTTATTCCTTCCTCCACAATCTGATCTGGTCCCTCCATCTTCCACTCATCCTTTAGAGCTGGACAACGCTTGCCACCTGCCTGCAGCTGCCCAGATCTCACTCCGCACTCTCCTGACGTGCAGGAACATCTGGAAAAACATTCTGATCCTGGGTTTTACCACGTGAGTTGAACTTCGCATGCTACTAGACCCTATGGAGGCTCATCCGGGAATGGCAGAGTGGACTTGTGGGTGGGTGAGAAGTATAGCAATAGCACTTAGACTTATATACCGCTGCACAGTGCTTTACAGCCCTCTTTAAGTGGTTTACAGAGTCAGTCTGTTGCCCCCCCCCCAAAAAAACCCCAAGCTGGGCCACCCAGCCAGCATTCATGCCTAAAGCGGGACTAGAATTCACCGTCTCCTGGTGATTGGCCCAAGGTCACCCAACGATCTTTCATGTCCATATCAGGACTTGAACTCAGAGTTTCTTGCTTTCTAGTCTGGTGCTTAAGCAGTAGACCAGGGGTAGGTAACCTTGGCTCTTTTGTGACTCAACTCCCAGAATTCCTGAGCCAGCCATGCTGAGGGGAAAGGGAGAGGTTTCCAAGCTGAGCCATGCTGGCTCAGGAATTCTGGGAGTTGAAGTCCACGAGTCATAAAAGAGCCAAGGTTGCCTACCCCTGCTCTAAACTAATAAAGTCTTCATTAATTAACATTAATTATGCTTTCATATGTTCTTCTAACTGAGGGGTCTTCAAACTTGGCTCTTTTATGACTCGTGGACTTCAACTCCCAGAATTCCTGAGCCAGCCGTGCTGAGGAGAAAGGGAGAGGTTGCCATGCTGAGCCATGCTGGCTCAGGAATTCTGGGAGTTGAGGTCCACAAGTTATAAAAGAGCCAAGGTGGCCTATCCCTGCACTAGACCAAACTAACTCTCTTATTTTCCTCTTAACAGTCCTTTCAGTGGCAATGAGTTCCTTCCTTCCATCCTAAATGGGTCTTGGGCATTCCTTGTTTGTTCTTATGCTTTTGAGACTCTTGAACCCCGTGAGCTAAACCAGGTTGGCGTATTTTTGTCCTCCAGATTCATAGCCCACGCGATCTGCCACTGTTACCAGCAGGCCTGGGAGTCCATGGAGGACCCGCGCGCCAAGTTCTACTTCCCCTTCCTGTTGTCAGCTGGCAGCGCCGGCCTCGGTTGCCTCTTTCTCTGCCTCACCGTCGGTCGGTATGGACGGCGCGGGATTCTGCTCCTCACCACGACCCTGACTGGCATCGCCTCTCTGATCCTGCTGGGGCTGGGAGAATGTAAGAACCCTGGGCTAATTTCCAAGGAGCGTCTTCTTGCGGGATCCAATTCTGGGATCAGCGGTTTACTCTTCCGAACTCCGAGCTTCCGAGCTCCTGGAAGCCAGCCACCAGATTGCAAGGACACAAGCGAGCGGTCCAACGAGGAGGCCTCGGTAGCCTCACATGGCAATGAACAAGGACAGAGATTCAGTTTCGCAGCTACTAAGATTGTTGGCCGAGCAGAGACAAAAATAGCCAGGGAAATATCTATGGAAGTTCTCAGTCATCCAGGTCGTGGTTGTCCCAAAAATGCTTTTTTTCAGGAGGCAACTGGACAGCTGGTCATTTGCATTCTTTTAGAGGGTCGTTGAGGCCATTGGGACATTTACCTGTGTCCTCAGGGTCACCTGAGTAGTGCAAGTGTGCAAATGCCACACCCATTTGCACCACTCAAGTGACCCTGAGGACACAGGTAAATCTCCAAGTGGCCTCAATGACTCTAAAAGGATGCAAATGACCGGCCGTCTGCAAGGAGTATAAATCCATTCTCCGCCATCCAGTCAGAGCTGAAGAAGCTTCTTGGAGGCGGGGGTGGGGGCACCAGGTTGTCCATCTGCCTTCCCTGCTCTCCCAGCCTGTGTGACTTCACACCTTCCGTTTTGTCTTCCGTTGCAGATCTCAACAACGCGGCCCGAAGAACGTTTTCCATTCTTGGTCTCTTCACCTCCCACGCGGCCGGCTCGCTCAGCGTCTTCTTCGCTGCGGAAGTCATCCCCACCGTGATCAGGTGAGGCAGAAAAGGCTCCGGGAGAATAAGGAGACGTCCCGGGGTAGAAAAATGAATTAAAAAACAGAGATAGTCTCCACTGTAAATTCCCATCCTTCCTTATCTTTCAGTCCACCCATTTTGTCTTCAAATGTCGAGTCCTCACAGCTTTTGCTCCTTCCTTCCTTCCTTCCTTCCTTCCTTCCTTCCTTCCTTCCTTCCTTCCTTCCTTCCTTCCATTCATCCATCTTTTTTCCTTTCCATTCTTCCTTTTTTCTCCCTACCTGTTCCTTCTTTCATCCTGCCTCCTTCCTTCCTTCCTTCCTTCCTTCCTTCCTTCCTTCCTTCCTTCCTTTTTCCTCCCTCACTCCTTCCCTCACTTCCTTTCTTCCTTCTGTTTATCTATTTTCCCTTCTCTTTCCTTCCTTCCTCCCTTTCTCCCTCCCCCTTCCTTCCCTCCTTCCTATCACTTTTCCTTTCTCCTCCCACCGTCGATCCCTCCCTCTCCTTCTTTCTCCTTCCTTCCTTCTTTCCTTCCTTCCTTCCTTTCTCCTTCTTTTTCTTCCTTTCTTCCTTCCTTCTTTCTTTCTCATTCCCATCTCCTTCCTTCCCTCCTTCCCTCCCATTCCCTTCCTTCCTATTCCCATTTCCTTCCTTCTCCTCATTCCCATTTCCTTCTTTCCTTCCTTCTCCTCATTCCAATTTCTTTTTCTTTCTTTCTTTCTTTCTTTCTTTCTTTCTTTCTTTCTTTCTTTCTTTCTTTCTTTCTTTCTTTCTTTCTTTCTTTCTTTCTTTTTTTCTTTTCCTTCTGCCTTCCTTCCTTCTTCATCCCAAAAAGCAAGCTAGGCAGTATATAAATTTAATAAATAAAAAGAATAGGGAGGGGGGAGAAAGAAAAAGGACAAAAGAGTAGAAAACTTGAGACTCCTGCCAATATAATAAGGCAATCTTCTTCCCGCAGAGGGAAGGGTCTTGGCATTATCCTGGCCTTGGCGTCCCTCGGAGGGCTGAGCGCCCCCTTGTTGCGGGTGCGAGAGCAGCACGGCTCCTTCCTCGAACACATCGTCTTGGCCTCCCTCAACATCCTGGCCCTGCTTTGCCTGCTGCTGCTGCCCGAGACCAAACGCAAACCCTTGCCTGAAGGCCTGCAGGACGGAGAACTTTATCGGAGGCCTTCGCTGCTCCGGCGGGCCGGCGAGTCTGCGGGCCGGGACTCCGAGGGGGCGTCGCGGCGAGACGACGTGCCGTTGCTTTCCACCCCGAATCCTGCCAGCTGATGCCACGGCGGGCTCGGTTTTGGCCTCAGTGTGCGTTTGCCGTCGTGGTTAGGGTGGGCTCGTCCAGTGAACGCAAGGGCCAAAGAGAGGTTGTGAGGGGAAAAAAATCTGATTTTTGGCCTTTTTTCCTGCTTCTGATGTTGCACGGAAGCGGCAACTCGTTGGTTAAATTTGCGGCCCTTGGGAACCAGGATTCGTAGCTAGTTGCCCCAAAATAGCTAGAGCAGTATTTTCTCGATCTCAGGCACTTCAAGATGTGTGGACTTCAATTCCCAGAATTCACCAGCCAGCGTTGCTGGCTGGGGAATTCTGGGAGTTGAAGTCCAGACATCCACCCACCACCCTTTTTATTCCCAAAACAAGCTGAAATTTGAAACTAAAGCTAAGCCAGACTTTCAAGGATGAAGAAGTTTTGCAAGACAGAAAGGAAAAAATGTGAAAAATTTCTTCCCGGAAGAGAATTTTTAACAGCCTTTTTATTTTTTTGGCAACGGAAAGATTTGGGGGTTTATGAACGGAAGGATACGGGGTCAAATTGTCGAAGTGCTTCGCTAGGAGGTCGGGCTGATCCTCTGTTTTTTTTTAAATCTCTCTTGGATTTTTTTTTTTTAAAGTTCTTCGAGGGACAGTTTGGGGAGCTGGCAGATAATTCTGGTTTGTTTTTGGTTTGTTTCTTTTTTTCTCGTTTTACCGATGTAGGACAGGGGAAACCTAGGGCCCCGGAATCAGTCTGTGGATTGAGGTCTGAGGCAGAATCCACATTGTTCGACCTATGCATCCATCTCGTTTTTAATAATTGTGTCTGTGACACGTATCTCTTTCGCAAAGGGCTCGCCGCATTCAGGACGTTGGATCGGAGGTGATGAAATCCTAAAGTGGAATCTTGGGGTTTATTTCCAAGGCGTGGTTTCCCTTCCCTCCCCGAAAGAAACCGTCAATTAGATCAGACAAAGATTATCCTTCCGTGCTTTTCTAGGAAAACAGTGAGTTTGGTCTGGGCATCAAAAATGTCCGATCAGGCCATTCTTCACTAGGCCAATTCTTCATTTAACGCTGTGGAGATTCTCAGTCATCCAGGTCATCGTTCTCCCAAAGGTGCTTTTTTTTTCACGAGGCACCTGGACTTTGTTTTTCTTTGAAGATGTTTCGCTTCTCATCCAAGAAGCTTCTTCAGCTCTGGCTGCACGGTGGGAAACGGCAGGGTTGATATTCCTTTGCATTCCTCTGGTCATTTGCATTCTTTGAGAGAGTCGTTGAGACCACTTGGATGCCAGCTCTGTGTCAAAATTGAATAGAAGGGGAGGGATACGACATCCTCTATCTCCAGTCTACCACACAATCCTTTCAGCAGCTCCAAGAGGGCTCCATGCCCACTTGCACCACTCAGGTGACCCTGAGGACACAGATCAACCTCCAAGTGGGCTCAACGACTCTCTAAAAGAAGGCAAATGACCAGAGGACTGCAAAGGAGTATAAATCCTTCCATTCCCCACCATGCAGCCAGAACTTGAAGAAGCTTCCTGGATGAGAAGCGAAACCTCTTCAAAGAAAAACAAGAAAGTCCAGTTGCCTCGTGGGGAAAAAAAAGCACTTTTGGGACACATAAGTGTCTGCAAATCTTTATCCAGAAATCTTTTTCTGTCTAGCATTATTTGCTCGCAGCGAAGAGAAACGAAACGACCGCTGTATACAAAGACGATATCAGCCGTCAGTTCCCCAGCCCAGATCTGGAATATACAGGCAGTCCTCGACTTAACGACAATTGAGACAATTTCCCGACTTTTCTTGCCACGGTTTTTAAATGAATCACCGCAGTTTGTAAGTCAGTGACCTGGTTTCCCCGTCGACTTTGCTTGTCAGAAGATCAGAAAAAGGGGATCGTATGACCTGGGGATAGTGCGACTGTCATAAATAGGAGTCGATAAGCCTCTGAATTTGGATAGCGTTTCCAGGGAGATGGCGCCCTGGTCCTACGTGTGTGAAAAACAGTCCTTTGGTAGTGCCGTTGTAACTCCGAACGGTCGCTAAATGAACCGTTGTAAAGTCCAGGACTTCCTGTATCCAATTTTTTTAATAGGTTACAAATCATTTTTCAGGGCTTAGAGTTAATAGCAGGTTTTATTACCAATAAAGACAGAGATGATCGCTGAAGGAACGGCACAGCGTCATACCCAGGGAGGGAATCACTCAGGCCGACGCACACGTGTGTGTGCACTAACACTACTCCTTTTGCTTTCCTGGGAGTTAAACATGCAACATCCCCCCCTCAATTTTTTTTGGGACTGCTTTGTAGACTTAAAGGGAAATAAAACACTTGACTGTTACTAAGCTAAATAAAAGAAAGTAAAAAAACCCAATCCACTCGGAAAACCCCTATCTAAGCTTCGGAGTCTTTTGGGGGGCAAGAATTTAATACCGCTTTACAAGGCCTGGGTAAGGCCACACTTGGAATACGGCATCCAGTTTTGGTCCCCACGATATTAAAAAAAGATGTTGAGACTCTGGAAAGAGTACAGAGAAGAGCAACAAAGAAGATTAGGGGACTGGAGGCTAAAACATAAGGAACGGTTGCTGGAATTTGGGATGTCTAGTTTAACGAAGAGAAGGACGAGGGGGGACATGATAGCAGGGTTCCAGTATCTCAGGGGCTGCTCCAAAGACGAGGGAGTCAAGCTATTCTCCAAAGCACCTGAATGCAGGACAAGAAGCAACGGATGGAAACTAATCAAGGAGAGAAGCAACCTAGAACTAAGGAGGAATTTCCTGACACAATTAATCAGTGGAACTCCTTGCCCCCAGAAGTTGTGGGTGCTCCATCACTGGAGGTTTTTAAGAAGAGATTGGACAGCCACTTGTCTGGAATGGCATAGGGTCTCCTGCTTGAGCAGAGGGCTGGACTAGAAGACCTCCGAGGCTCCTCCCAACTTGGTTCTGTTGTGTTGGGGCTTGCGTGCTTGAAGACTGGAGTGTCCTCTCAGGGATAGGTTATCACTTAGGGGCCCTGGGAAAGCAGTTGGGTCTCCCCAAAAGCAAAGGAATGAGTGCCATTGATGACCCGTGTCTGAAAAGATCCAGGGTCCCAAGTTCGAGGTTCCTTACCTTGCCAGCCTTGACCCTCTTCAGGGCCTTTGGCTGGGCTGTCCTGCCTCTTGGGTGGGCTTGACCCTCCTGGGCAGCGGGGACCCTCCAGAAGTTTCCCAATATTTCTAGGATGGGTAGGCAACCTTGGCTCTTTTATGACTCGTGGACTTCAACTCCCAGAATTCCTGAGCCAGCATGGCTCTGCTTGGAAACTTTCCCTTTCCCCTCAGCATGGCTGGCTCAGGAATTCTGGGAGTTGAAGTCCACGAGTCATAAAAGAGCCAGGGTTCCCCACCCCTGCCCTATATCAGGGGTCCTCAAACTTGGCAACTTTAAGACTCGTGGACTTCAACTCCCAGAATTCCTGAGCCAGGATAGCTCAGCTTGGAAACCTCCCTTTTCCCTCAGCGTGGCTGACTCAGGAATTCTGGGAGTTGAAGTCCACGAGTCATGAAGGAACCAAAGTTCCCCCATGCTGGCTCAGGAATTCTGGGAGTTGAAGTCCACAAGTCATAAAAGAGCCATGGTTGCCTACCCCTGTTCTAGGACCTGAAGAACACGGTCAGGCAGAGAGAAGCACGGTGCAATGGGCCCACTGCTCCAATGGGAACAGATAACTGCCACGGAAGCCACCAGGGCAATGTCGGGGTCCTCAGTGGGTCGTATCTGTTAGAATTGGCCATTCGTCTAGGGAGATTCTCCGTCATCCAGGTCCTTGTCCCAAAGGTGCTTTTTTTTCAGGAGGCAACTGGACTTTCTTGTTTTTCTTTGAAGTAGTTTCGCTTCTCATCCAAGAAGCTTCTTCGGCTCTGACTGGATGGGGGGGGGGGGAATGGCAGGATTTATACTCCTTTGCAGTCATCTGGTCATTTGTATTTTTTCGGAGGATTGTGGAGGCCACTTGGAGGTTTATNTCTTTCAAGCCAGCGGTCCTCTCTGTCCAAAATGGGGACTTTGTTGTCTTCCAAAGAGCGGTCTTGGTCTTCCAAACACAGGTGGACAGCCGAGTTTTGTCCGGATGAGTTCGTTCTCCTGTGTTGTGCCATGCATTGTGAAGTGGCTTTTTTGTTTCCCCAACGTACAATATCAAAATTGCACAGCCCTCCCTCAACAGAGAGGGAGGGACACGACACCATCTCTCTCCAGTCTACCACACAGTCCTTTCAGCAGTTCCAAGAAGGCTCCACGCCCATTTGCACCGCTCAGGGCACCCTGAGGTAAAACTCCAGGTGGCCTCAGCGGCTCTCTAAAACAGACATGTCCACTCAGGGGACCCTGAGGTAAAACTCCAGGTGGCCTCAGCGACTCTCTAAAACAGACATGTCCGCTCAGGGGCCCTGAGGTAAAACTCCAGGTGGCCTCAGCGACTCTCTAAAACAGACATGTCCGCTCAGGGGACCCTGAGGTAAAACTCCAGGTGGCCCCAGCGACTCTCTAAAACAGACATGTCCGCTCAGGGGCCCTGAGGTAAAACTCCAGGTGGCCTCAGCGACTCTCTAAAACTGACATGTCCGCTCAGGGGCCCTGAGGTAAAACTCCAGATGGTCTCAACGACTCTCTGAAACAGACATGTTAAACACAAGGCCCAGGGGCCAGATGCAGCCCGCGACGTGGTTTCATGTGGCCCGCGAAGCCATCCTGGAAACAGTGAGGGAACACCCCTCCCCCGCTGCCTTGGCCCTGGCCCTGGTTGTGTTTCTTGCGTTTTTCTCCCTCATCTCAAATATTTTCCCACCGCTCTGTACTTAGGAAGGAAGGAAGGAAAGAAGGAAGGAAAGGAGAGGGAGGGTCTGAGGGAAGTCCTGCCTTAGTCCTGCCCTGCTGCCCTTTCACCATCCCCTTGCCCCCTCCTCCTGTCCTATCCTGGGGGGTCTCCCATCCTATTAATAATAATAATGATAAAGTTGGAAGGGACCTTG